TGGCTGAATAGCGCCTTCGCTAAAAATGATGAAATCGAGATATTTAAACTGGCCAACCTCCTGAAGAGCTTCATCTCCTTGTTTCACTAGTTGATCAGCTCCTCGTGACGTTTTCCTTCCCTGCGTTAAGGAAGAAGCCGGCTTTCACAGCTTTATTGCATACGGAATCTGCCAGGTGGCAGAATCTACTCCCTTTGCTACTCACTAAAGTAATATCCGCGCTTACTCCAGTCAGTAAAATATTTAACCTAATGTCTTGACCTGTGCCTTCCTTTAAAATGAAACCTTCGTGGTTGCCGTTGCCAGCACTGTTTCAAAAACATAGTAGAGAAAAATTTTGCATCGCCAAGGCAAATACGCATCTCCCTCGCGAACTCTACAAATCAGGCAGCTCTCCATCAACTTTCATAAGAGACATAGTTCCTACATGCATCTCTTGCTAAGTGGCATCAATATATTCAGGAATCCCATAGCATTTCAGAATTTTGTACATCGCTGAACGATGCAGTGAGTTAAATGCTGCCTTGTTGTCAAGAAACTAGCAAATCAAGACAAGTGGAATCTTCGGCATTGATCAGTGCTTGTACCAGATTGAACATTTGGTCTGAACAAGCATGCCGCATCAGGAAGCCTGTTTGATTTAGTCGAAGTCTCCCGCCAGCTGCTTTCGTGAGCCTTTCTAAGATTTTCCATGAAATTAGTCTCCGGGCAGTTGCCAGTACTGCGATAAAACGATAATAGGAACATTCGATCACTTGACCCCCTTTTTTGTTTCGGCACAGTTACTCCTTACTCCTATTCTCCAGGGAAACGTTTGGAAGTCTTTATTTAATGAAACAGCAATGGCGCTTCCCTGCAATTCCTGTTCTTCTTTATTTTATTAATTCCTAAGGAATTCTATCTACCCCGCAGACCTTTTTCACTGTAGCAAGGATTTTTGGATTTCTAGGTTTTAGGCATATGCATCCTTGTTTCATTATGCATATTATATTGTGCATTGTATATTCTATTGCCCTGTGCTCTGGTGCAACTTGTTTGGATACTGTTTGCAAACTGATTGTCATCCAACGTATTCGTGATTTTGTCTTTTACGAATCGAAAGACCGGCTGCTCTGGAACATGAATGAATTGAATTCTTCTCAGATGCATCACCTCTCAAACTATTTACTATACCATATTCATAAATGATATCACTGTTCTGACAGAAAGTGCAAAGAATAAAAGTTTTACTCTTTCGTCACATAAATAAACGGTCAACCTGCCTTCGACAAAATGCGATTTTCTTTAGAAAAAAAGAATGACGACGCTGTCACATCTTTATACATTTTGGTTACCAGGAAATTTCTGGCTGTCAGTTCCTTGTTTAGTGAACTCTCCGCGTAACCTACGGAAATCTCTGAAGCGCAGTCAACAATCTCCGCGTAACATCTGAAAGAATGCTACAAGTCATTTTTGATTAAGACTCGGTTTTGCATCCTGGTTACAGATGAAGGATCCATAGAGCCACAGGCAAGGAAATCCATCTATCCTTTAATGCCTCTATAGCACTACTATTTTCAGTATGTAACTAAATTATTCATCGTCTTCATCTTCCATGGCCACTTCTCCTTTGAGTCGCGGAGAAACTGTTTTTAATATTTATTGTAATTTAGGAAATC